ATTGATCCGTGAATTTGAGAGGATTAAAATATAAAGAGACATAACATGTCTAGATTATTCAACCAAACATTCTTGAATGAAAATATGCTGCCTAAACATATATATATATATATATATATATATATATATATATGGAGAGAGAAAGAGAGAGAGAGAGAGAGACAGAGAGAGAAAGAGAGAGAGCTTGTGGCAGAAATCCCTCTCATATTTTAAAGCTTGACAAAGAGACTAAGGTGACGGCTATTAAAAAAATATTTCATCGTTGTTCAAACAAAGGGATATCGTTTCTATTTATTTTTATTTCAAATGACATCCTCCAAATGATGGCCACAATTTGCGAAAAACTCTTGTAGACGATTTCTAAATCTTTTCCGTCACTTGGAAGTTTGACCGTTTTGAGGTCTTCCAAGTGGCTTTCTTTTAAGCGCTGAATCTGTGTCCCTGACATTTTCAACCCATAGCAGTATCGATTTTCTATCGGGGACAGTACCATTCCAACACCCGAAAAAAAAAAAAAAAAAAAAAACTACGGCAGCTTTCTTACTCGGTTTTGTAACAGCATTAAGAAATTTATCTGTGAATTTGAGAGGATTAAAATAAAAATAGTCGTAAAATGTCTCGATTATTCAACCAAACATGGCTGAATTGAAAATATGATGCCTAAAACACACACACACACGCACACATATATATATATATAGAGAGAGAGAGAGAGAGAGAGAGAGAGAGAGGAAGAGTGAGAGTGAGAGAGTGAGCGAGCGAGCGTGCGGCAGAAATCCCTCCCACATTTTAAAGCTTGTCAAATAGATCAAGGTGACAGCTGTTAAAAAAAATATTTCATTGTTATTCAAACAAAGGAATATCGTTTTTATTTATTTCTATTTAAAATAACATCTCCAAATGGTGACTTCTTTTCGCGATAAAATCTTGTAGACGATTCCTAAATCTTTTCCATCACCCGGAAGTTCGAGGGTTTTGTGGCCTTCCAAGTGGCTTTCTTTTAAGCGCTGAATCTCTGGCCCTGACATTTTCAACCCATAGCAGTATCGATTTTCAATCATTCCAACATGAAATGAGTACGAAAAGCGTCCTGTGTTGCAATTACAGATTTACCAGTCTTAAAGGAAATTAAATGGTTTGCACTGATCCAAGCCAAAATGGTAACCGCTGGTACCTGACAAAAATGGTTTGGCATTTGGCTAGATGAAGACACCCACGCACAACACAGGTGACTGGTTACAATGTGGGCGGTATTTTTATGGTAACCTGTATAAATTCTAACCTTATTATAATAGATATTTCGTATTTAAAATAGATACGCCATTTTTATTTATAAAACAGTGTATATTACGTCTGTCGGCCTACATATTCGAGAAATCTTAGCAAAGAAAATGGGGTTTTCGGCTCAAAACGAACATGCGTGCCCACTTTGTAGGGGAAGCCATGGTTTGATTCAGTGTGCCTTACCGCTCGGACACGGAGAACATCGCAGCAAGTAATGTCCTATTTTCCGTTTTAAAGGAAAGCCGATCCCCTTTACTTATTTCCTCGAAAGATTCATATCTGATCAGTTTCTTTACGAAACGTAAACAAATCAAAGAATTAATTAACCCATTGAGCTCTGTGCCCTTGAACAATTTTAACACGTCTGACTGAGCTCCTGAGTCAAAATTCACAAAAAATTGGTATGTAATGTTTCACGGTAGATAAAAATAGTTTACCCACCATTCAACCAGTGGCTAGGAATTACATCATTTTTCCCTACCACCGTTCAACCAGTGGCTAGGAATTACATCCTTTTTTTGACTAGGCATTAAATAATTTTTCTCTACCACCGTTCAACCGGTGGTGGTTTCAACCGGGCATTAAATCATTTTTTCTTCCAGTGTTCAACCGGTGGCTAGGCCGATTTTTTTTCTACCACCGTTCAACCGGGCTAGGCATTAAATCCTTTTTCTCTACCACCGTTCAACCGGTGGCTAGGCATTAAATCATTTTTCTCTACCACCGTTCAACCGGTGGCTAGGAATTAAATCCCTTTTCTCTACCACCGTTCAACCGGTGGCTAGGCATTAAATCATTTTTCTCTACCACCGTTCAACCGGTGGCTAGACATTAAATCCTTTTCCTTTTCTTTTTCTACCACTGTTCAACCGATGGCGAGGCATTAAATCCGTTTTGCTAAATCCTTTCTCTACCACCACCATCCTTTTTTCTTTTCAACATTAAATCCTTTTGCTCTGCCACCATTCAACCGCTGGCTAGGCATTAAATCATTTTTCTCTACCACCGTTCAACCGGTGGCTGGGCATTACGCCATTTTCCTTACCACCGTTAAAGCTGTAGTCAGGGTTCAAAGGTTTAAAAATAATTTATTTTTAATCCGTCATTTTTGTTACTTCAAACGTCAATCTAATCTAATATTATAAATACCCCCGTGTGCAACCTATCCTGTGTTCAACTTCCTTTGTTCCGAGATTTATAATGTCTGTTAGTCATTTTAACTTCAGATATCTTTTCTCTTGAGAAAATCCCCTCCTTTTTGTTCCCAAAATAATCCTCTTGGATAATGCCATAAAGCACTAAGACAAGCACTAATCAAAACACTGGATTTGAAAACGATTCCTTTAATTGGTAAATGATTTCTAAGCCAGGAAATAATCTCTAGAAAAAAGATTTTGTCCAAACGATGACATGTTGGGACCAGAAATTTAGTCGTACATGCAATATTAAGGAAAGCATTCTATTCGTTCGCATGGTGTGAAAACTCCGAGGTTTGATGAAACTTTTGAAAAAGAGGATTTTAGTTGAATGACTTAATGAAATGGAAGAAAAAAGCTGATCAAATTGAACAGGTCGCAACTTTAAGATTTTAATCGGTGAAAATAAATATCTGTCGATATTTTTGAGATGAGGTATTGTAATTATTTATATTATTTATATTGTTCGGACTATTATCCTCATCTTTATTTTCATATTCATGACGTTATGAATATGGCAATAAAAATGAGGATAACAGTCCGAACGATGCAAATAGTGTAAATAGTCTTGGCTGTCTGTTTTTCTTTTTCTTCTCTTCATTCTTCTGAATTTTCGTTTTTTTTTTCACTTCTACTTTGCTTGTTTGTTTCTTTCTTTTTAGTCTGTCTTTTCTTTTTTTATTTCCTTTGACGATCTTATAATTTCTATCTTTTTTATAAATTCTTTCTTTCTTTCTTTCTTTCTTTCATTTGCGGCTGTCGTATTTTCTTTTTTTCTTTTTCTATTTTTTTTTTCATTTTGCCATCTTTATTTTCTTCCATCTGTAAGGTTTTTTCTTCCAGTTTTTTAGACTTTCGTTGTTTTTTACTTTCTTTCGATCACAAATCATATAGCTTATTTCATTTTTTTAGGACATCACTGTAGGCTTTTTTCATTCTTTCCTTTGCAGGACTAAAGCTACTTTTATCCTTTCTTTCATTCTTTCGTTTATGTCTCTCATGCCTTCTTTCTTTTAAATTTCATTCTTTTCTCTTCTTTTTTAGGCAATTATCGTTTCTTTCTATCTTTTACAGTTCTCATAGCATGTTTTCTTTCTTTCTTTCTTTCTTTCTTTCTTTTCTTTCTAAGCGTTCATTGACTTCTTTCTTTCTTGGCTATTCTCATCTTTCTTTCCTTCCCTCCTTCTTTCTTTCCTTCCTTTCTTCTTTTTTCTTGGGCTTATTGTTCTTTTTTCTTTCTTTAGCGACTCTCATCTTTCTTTTTGCTTTTCTTATTCTTTCTTTCTTTTGCGGCTTTCATCTTTCTTTCTTTCTTTCTTTGTTGCTCTTATTTTTCCCTCTTTCTTTTTTTAGTTCTGGTTTTATTGTTCTTTCTTTCTTTCTTTAGCGGTTCACATCTTTCTTTCATTTTACTCTGAGTATTCTTTCTTTTTTTAATTTACAGCACTTATATAACCTTTCTTACTTTTTTAGGCGCTTATTAATTCTTTATTTCTTTCATTTATAAATTTTATAGATCCTCTCTTTCTTTCTTTCTTTCTTTTTTCTTTCTTTCTGTAAGCATCTTTCATTTTTTCCTTATCTCAAAAAAGAATACCCGCTCGGCCCGGTGGCTAGGATCAAAGTGTAGTATCTGCGCTTTGTGAGCTGCCGGGTCGGGTGTCTGTCGAACTCTCTGCTTGCAGAGAGGAACCCGGACGAAGCTCCGCCGAAGGGTGGGGTTTCGTTCGGGGAGGTTGACGGAACTAGCCCGCTTGGACGGGTTTAGATGGGTTTTATTTTTGGCTGGGCCTACGGGCTCGGACATACCCACATTAAAAAGGCCTTGTGCCACATTCAATTCCTGTGGGTGAATTGATAAATACCATCTTTCATTTTTTCCTTGGCTGCTCTAAATATTTTCTTTCTTTCTTTCTTTCTTTCTTTCTTTCTTTCTTTCTTTCTTTCTTTCTTTACTCAACTCCACCAGAATCAATCGTTTTCTAATTGTAATTTCTAACAAAATCTTATTCAACTTTTCCCAAATCGATACGCTATGATACTTGGAATTGCATTTATTTCATAAGTTTGTTCTTAAACGATCAAATTTATCGATCGTTTGGATTAAATGCTTTAGTATTTTGATTCTAGTCTTTCACTGATTCATATAATACAATATCTACGTGATAGGTGGAAGCAATTTTGTTTCACAAGTAATTTCGGCGTCGTGGAATTTCCCGCCGCTAATCAATAAAATAAAAAAAATAATTCGAGAACAAAATTCGAAGATGGAAATAAAATTAAATTAATGACCAATAAATAAATGAAATAAAAACAGGAATCAGGAAAGGCAGTCGATAATTATTTTCACTTGAAGAAATAAACTACTATAACTCTTCTTGTCTGTTCGGCAACATTAGGAAAAGAAAGGTGGGAAAATAAATATTTTTCTTGTTCGGAAGAAAGGCGCCTACATGTACATATATATAACTGAATCCCTAGATATGCATACAGATATGAATCTTTGGTTGGTTGAAAAGATCAAGGTCTGATTGGAAGAGGGGTGGTGCGAAGAAAGGATGGTGGGTGAGGGATGTTTGGATAGAGTAAAGGATTGGTGTTTGGACGGAGAAACGTATGGGTGGTTGGGTGGAGTGTATGTAGGTGGAGGAGTGAATGGATAATTGGGCGAGGGTTATGATGGTTGAAGAGATTCAATGAGGGTTGGGTGGAGCGATATTTGGGTGAAAGGTGGAGAAATGCTTTGATCGTTGGGTGGAGGGATTTTGGGATGGATGGATGGTTCGATGGAGGGGTGATTGATTGAATTGAGAATGGGATGAATGGTTGAGTGGAGGGGTGGATGAATAGTTGGGTTGACGTTTTAGGGTGAGGGATATTTGAGCGAAGAGATGGACGTATAGTTGGCCGGTGGGATGTTTGGATGGAGTGAGGGTGCTTAGACTGAACGATGAAAGGATGGTGGCGTGGAAGGATGGATATTTGGATGGTAGGGGTTTGGGGGTTCAGAATTGGTACTGTAGCGGTTATCAATAGCAAAAACGAGAACGGCAAACTGTTCTGATGATAGATGAGGCCTCTAATGTTCACCTCGGATTAAGCCTCGTAGGAAAACATGATTACATATACCAGGTATATTCATAAAATGTCTCATCATCGGCGTAGCACAACTGTTGGAGGACTAAGAATTTAAATGAGCCTTTTGGGTAAACAGCTCTCTCATAATTACCATCTGTGCTCAGGTAGTGCCTGTCCGTGAAGTTTAGTTTGAAAGGACGCATGTAAACTCCATGTTTCTGTTTGTTTTAACGTCGTTATCTCGACGCCTGTCGAAAAGTTTTTCTACCTTTCTGTCATGTTAACTTTTTCTGGGAAAGTTTAGTAGGGTACATAGCGAGCCACCTACTTATGGGTTTTCATTAAGGCCTTTTGACAGAGGATTTTGTCTTTGTTCCTTAAATTAAAAAAGATCATTAATACTTTGAATAAACGCTCTTTAGCGCTAGAGGGCGTCGTCAGTGATTTGGATCATTGGGCAGTTTCGGGTCTTTCAAACATCATACTAACCTCACCAGGTCGACCCCATCAGTCTCTGATGCGCCCCCACCACATCTAAATTACCAGCCTGCAGACACTGACTTATATTAGGCAAACCATAACTCGCTATCACGCATTTGATTGGAAGTTGACCAACAGCTAATCACAATGTTGTGAATTCTATTTAAGTTCTTTACGGGGGATCTTTTTTCTTTTTTTTTATGTGGACACCTTATCATCGGATACTCGGAAGGTAATTATATGTTTTCCGTTTTTTTTTCTTTTTCCTCCATTTCCTTTTTTTTTTTCACATCCCCCATCAAGTTTCATCTTGCCTGCTTATAATTACTGTTATTAATAATAAAAAAAATCAACCGTAACATAATTAAAAATTTACATTGCTTTTACGATTAAAATAAATAAATTACGAGTTATGCAGCGTGTTAAAATGAAAATAAATATATAAATAAATGCCATTTAAACATATTGAACGTGTAAACGTAGAAAATTCGTTTAAATCTATCGATTAACGTGATAAATTAACATATGAGATTAACAATTAAAATTAAATTTACGTTTTTTTTATCGTTACGAAAAAAAGACGGAAAGAGGGGTGAAAATTATTGCTAAGTAAGTCGTTTAACAAGAATTAGTCACAATTATAATTCACATATAGTCCAGAGGTTGGTGACAGAAAAAAGGAAAATGAGATAAAATGGAAGTCAAAAGACTTCTATGAAGCAATAAAGAACGAAAATGGGGGTGGGGAGGCTATCGAAAAATAGAGCCCTTTTGAACATGACGATGTTATGCCTTTATTGTAGATGCTAAAATATCGAAATCAAAGTTAATATGCGATATACCTCTTTCAACATTTAAGCAACAATTAAGAAAAAATTATTTATGGAAGGAGACATAATAAAATAGTATGTAAATAATTTTACGAAGACTTGAAGCAGTTTACATTTGGTTTTACTGGTTTTAACAGAGGATGGAAAATACACCACGAACATTCGAAGGAACATTGGAATAGCGAAAGACGCCTTCAAAAGCTAAAACACAGTATTAAAAAAAACAGGAAAGTTTTGTTACAAACTGTAAAATAACCATAACGACAATGGTAGTAGTAATTCTGAATTACTTTATTCTCGTACCAATGTGATGTAATTACAAAATACTTTGGGATCTGGCCATTCAGCTTTTTATATAGGGTGTCCATAATGTTCATATGCGCTTTAAAAAATTTATAACTTTATTTGTATTTTCGATAGAAATAATCTGTAAAAAAGGTTATAAAGTTTAATGTACCTAGTTTTAAGTATAGCTAAAATAACTAATGTGATTTCAGGCATTACTGTAAATCAGTTGGCAAATGTTTTCCGTGAACTGCAAAATCGTATTACCCTTTGTATTGCTAATGATGGAGGACATGTGGAAACTTAAATAAAATTTCAATAAAATCTTAAAAAATATAGATTTATTTCTTTCTAATCCTTTTTACAAATTATTTCTATCGCAAATACAAATAAAGTTATAATTTTTTAAAATGCACACGAACTTTATGGACACCTTTTATAACACCGGAAGAGGTAACTCATGTCCTCCAGTTGTCTCCCTTGGAAGTCCCCCATCATTTAATGACACCTTCCATTTCTACTCTACATATCCATCCCCCCTCTGACCATAGACGCGGTCAGTTGAAGGTTTGCCCCAGAATATGTGTGCGATTGTTCTCGCGTTTGTGGAGACAGAGTTCGGGGTACTCGGGTGTTTGGACGTGAGCGTCAACTTGGGGCTGGTGTCGCTTGATATTATTTTGTAGTGGGCCGACTGAATCCACAATGTCGTCAATTTCCATTTTTTCTGGCTCATTCTTTCTTTCTTTTTATGTGCCATGTCCTTTCCGGATGTAGGCGATCATGGCTCTCCACCTCCCTCTATCCCTTGCAGCTCTCAACAAGTTCCTTCCCTCTGCCCCCCCCCAGACCACATTCTGTCATCCACTTGCTTAAGCCCACCAGGAATGTCATTCGTTGTTTTCCCTTGTCTTTCTTCTCCTCTATTCGACCTGTGAGTATCAGATTCTCCAGGCCCTTCTTCCGCATTATATGTCCCAGAAATTTCAGCTGTCTCTTTCTGATATTAAGTATAAGCCTCCTCCTTTTTTGCAACCACTCTATGATCTCATCGTTGCTCACACGCTCAGTCCATGATATCCTTATCAGTTTGACAAGGTCGAAATGTCAGTCGATTTCCAAAACGACCCCAAATCCATAAGTAACTGCGGCATAATATGACTTGTTAACCAACACCTACAAAACTAAACTTCTTTCAATTAATCATCTGAGAGATTCTTCTCTGCTTCCATCAGTATGGCTGATGCTAACCTCCAGGAAAGCGATTCGTTGTGCCTTCTTTGGCTCACTGATATGAAGTGAAAAGACTATATTGAATCCATTGCTAGGTCAACTACTAAGAAAGTCAGTTCACTATGTCGGGAATGACAATTTGTTTCTCTAGAATCTATCTTGCATATTTATAAGTCTACCCTTCGTCCATGCTTAGAATATTACTGCCACATATGCTCAGGTTCCCCTTCTGTTTACTTTGAGCTACTTGATAAGATCAAAAGTAGAATCTGCAATATTATTCATCCTGATCTGGCGCCTCGGATTCAGTCACTTTCCCAAGGCAGTGAGGTTGCGTCTCTATGTCTTTTTTATGAATAATTTCATGGTAATTGTTCAAATGAATTCTTTGCTTGGTGAATAGACTTCATGAATTTAAGCGCATTACTAAACAGGCATCAAGATCTCATCAGTTTTCAGGTGAGCTGGTTAGATGGAACCGTAAGTTCTATGCTAAAAGTTTCTTCTCTCACACTTCTCGCTTGTGGTGCTCCCTTCCGACTCCATGTATTCCAGCCAACGTTAATCAGCAAAATTTAAATGCAGTGCCAATCGCTATCTACTGTTCTCCTGATTATATTTTCTTTTTCTGCTCATCATTAATGTTTCTGTTTTCTAATTCTTTCTCAACCTGGATTCCCCTGTGTTTTACAGGCATTAATGCTTTGCGTGGGTTGATTCAGATTATATATCTATCTATCTATCTATCTATCTATCTATCTATCTATCTATCTATCTATCTCCACACTCATATATATTTTGAACAATAAAAAATATTTAAAAAAATTAAGATTTTCAAACACTCTGGGTTGTATATTAATATTTTTCTGTTTTATTATTTCAATTAGGTTCCACGACTACTTTTGGCCATAAGATAGATAGATAGATAGATAGATAGATAGATAGATAGATATGAAGAGACGGAGATTAGATAGATAGATATACAGATAGATAGGAGCAGAATGAGATAGATAAATAGATAGATAGATAGATATGAAGAGACTGAGATTAGATAGATATACAGATAGATAGAAGCAGAATGAGATAGATAGATAGATAGATATGAAGAGACGGAGATAGATAAATATGAACAGACTGAGATAGATCTGGCTCGATAGATATCAAACGATTGAGAGCTAGGTTGATATTCTGTTAGATATTTCGATAGATCCCATCTACTCTATTTCCAAACCTACTATCCATTTCATCAAATTTGGACGTGATTTCAGATAGAAACCATTAGCGAGGAGACTGTATCGCTGTGTTATTTGTACAAACTTAATAGTCAAAAGTTTCATACATGTCTTTCTTTTTTCTTTCTTCTCGGCAACATCCCGCATGACGTCCCTTCAAGTGCTTTGCCCTTCAGCGAATTCATTTCGAAACGTCGTGGAATAGGGTAACTATAAAATTAAGGAACTCAAATAGGCAAACGAAACAAAAAAAAAGGCTGCCTTTCCCCGATTTCAGTCCGCAGACAATCCTCCATTCATGTAGGCGTCGTATCAAACACAAAAGAAGCGAGGCTCAGCTTTTTGCTCTCCCTGCAAAGCGCATTATGCTTTTCAATGTTACCACTCTGCCTGAGGTGGTCAGGCAATTTTATATATATATATATATATATATATATATATCTGTGTGTGTGCCTACCTCTGTGTGTGTACCTAACTGCGTGTGTATGGGTGGTTTGATCCAATCAGAGTAAAGGTTCCCGTACGATCATCGATGTTAAGCAACGGTGAGCCTGGCCATTGCCTAGATGGGTAACCGCTTGGGAATACCATGTGTTGGTGGAGAAATAGATAATGGTCTGGAAATTGTAATCGAAGAGTCAATTTCCAATTCCCCTTGGGTTCGTTATTTTCTTACTTACGCGCAAATACACTTGGGAAATGTATGAATTAATCGCTTATTTCCCCACAAGCTACGGGTTAATTAACCTAAAACACATTCTAAAAAGATTTTCTGGTTTTAAATAACCTAAAAATGGTTGATAAGCCGTGAAAAACGAATTAATCACTCTAAGAATCGACCAATCACAATGATGTTCCTTCTGCACAATCCCCTGATCCATTCTTTGGCGCTTAAGTGACAGGGTGGCCCTAAAGTTTTGTCACCCCCTACATAATATAATTTTCTATTTCAGATGGCTGACACGAGCTCCTGCACGGAAATGATAGTGTTCATACAGACCTTCTCGGTATGTGACTGCGTCAATGCATGTAAATAAACTGAATCCAGTCCATGTGTTTTGTATTAACTGTATTACTTGTTCTTTTATTGTTCTCATTACTTTGTTGTAGACATGACTTTCGGACCATTCTGTATTGAAGGTATCGGTTTATATCTCAAGATAAAGGGAGAGACTTGTTTGGGTTTTGGGTCAGTCATTTGGTGGTAAGACTAGACTGACCTCTCTAGGGCGCAGACCGAGGCGATGGTATATAGAGCGTTGCTCAGACCACATGGTTGTTGGTGTTGATCCATATATTTTTTGTCTGAATAGCAGTATGCTGTATAGGATGGCTCGAAAGTTTTGTCACCCCCTACAAAATATAATGTTCTAATCAGTTGGCTGACGCGAAAATGAAGCTGTTTATAAAGATCTTATCGAAGTGTGATAGAGTCAATGAAAGTCAATAAACTGAATCCAGTGAATGTTGCTTTGTATTACTATCTTACAGATTGTTCTATTATTCTCATTACTTATTTGGGTAGGGGTGACAAGACTTCCGGACCACCGTGTAGATGATTTTTCCTTTCTTTTTAAATACTTTCATGGTAATTGTTCGGGTGAACTTTCCGCTCTGGTACCTAGACTTTAGTTTGCACGACTGTTACCAATACCTCAGAAATAATGGACTATCGTTTTGATCACGTGGAAAGACAAAAGGTATATGAGAGACGTTATTTGGTTTCAGT